CATTGCAATCATGTGTTATGCTGTGTTTATCACTGTCAAATCATTCTAATCAACTGTTATGCTTTGTTGATCACTTTCAAATCATTCTAATCATCTGTTATGCTGTGTAGATCACTGTTAAATCATCTGTTATACTCTGTTGATCACTGTCAAATCATTGTAATCATGTTATACTGTGTTTATCACTTTCAAATCATTGAAATCATCTTTTATGCTGTGTTCATCACTGTCAAATCATTTTAATTATCTTTTATGCTGTGTTGATCATTGTCAGATCATTCTACTCATCTGTTATGCTGTGCTAACCATTGTCAACTCTATCATTGAGATCAGTTTTCTATTTGTTTGTATTATAGTAACCATGGAAGGTAGTTCTGAAATAAGGAAAAAGTCTCGGGAATCTAAAGTGTGTTCGAGATGTGGGAAATCAGTTATAAATTTATCTCGTCATCAGAAGGATGTACATAAAGTGAATAAGATTTTTCGTCAGGTAGATGTATATATAAATGGAAACAAGAAAGCGCCTAATAGGAAGATAAAGTTTTGTCCGTTATCTCCATGCAAGCATTCAAAGAAAGGTGTCTTTCAACTTCATCATCATTTACAGTCAAATATCCACAAGCTTAATCCCAACTCAAACCAATACTTAGATGCGCTTAAATCTGCTCCGAGAATTGGGCTTCAAGAGCTACGAGATCACATTGCCAAGAGAAAGAAATCCAAAGCAAAGAGCGCCACAACTAAAGATGGTCCTAAAAAGAGAAAAATCGAATCAAAATCACCTGTACGTGGAAAGGCCGCAAAAAGGGTGAAATTTTACAAGGGTGACAAGGAAAATGAGTATAGTTTGGTGAATAGAATCGAAGCTGAGGAAGAAATTGAAAATGACTCGGATGATCAATTATTAGAAAATCCTGAAGGAGAAGCAACTATCAGCAGAAACGTGAGTAACCCTGGGCACCTCGCACCGACCTCCTCCAATAGTAATGCAGAGGAGCGCAAACTACATAATGAAGAAAGTTGTGAATCAAAGGTAAGAGAGACGTACAATGATGATGACAGCAAATTAGAGTATGATCAGCAAGTTGATAAAGTGGAACACAAGCTACATAATGAAGAAAGTGGAGATTCAGGCAATGATCATGACAGTAATTTGGAGTATGAAAAAGTAATGGATCAAATGGAATCAAAGGTAGGTGATACACATGATGACCATGACAGCGATTTGGAGTATGATCAACTTGTGGATAACGTGTGGAAAAGAAATGAAGAGTGCAAGAAGCGAAGCTTTAAACAGTTAGTGTCTATGATGTCCTCCCAGTATGAAAGCGATGCCGAGCTATCTGAAGAGTTAAACAACCGCAAAAATGCTGACCAAGTAATCCAACCACCTCAACCACCAGTGACGGCTGGTAATACCAAATCTAGTGAAATAGTTATATGCGACAGTGAAGAAGAGGAAATTTTAGACCCAAACTATCACCCTTCCCTGGACTCCGAATCAGAGTGTAGCACTGGAAGCTTGTCAGATAACTGCTCGTTGCAAGAAAGGGATGACATTTTAACTGATTTCGTGGAAAACGTAGATAATCTCGATTTTCTTCGTGTGGAACCAGAATGGAAGAGCGTGGTTGATGTTGTTTTTGAAAGAAAAAAGAACGCTGGTAATACTGACTCCCAAAGCAATCTTTCACAAGGTAAAGTGCCTAAGGAAGTTATGAATGATGATGAATCATCAGTATACGATAGCGATGATGATGATAATGACGACTGTCTTGAAGAGATGGAAGATGATGTCAGTTTTGAAGACAATGATAGTAGTGATGACAGCCCACTGCTTAACGAGTTTCATTCCTGGTTGATAGACGTAGACGGGGGTTATCGCTGCGCAAAAGTGGCTGGTCAGTACAAGTCACAGGTAAAACGCATCATGAAAGTTCTTTCAGAAGATTTCCCTCAAGCAGCAAATGAAATAGATCTTGTTACTGTCGAGGGGCATGACGGAGTGGTAATGTTGAGGAAGTGGTTGGGTCAACTATCTGAGGAGTATCAACCTGGAACCATTAGATCATACCTAATGAGCCTTAGGCTATTCCTTAAATTCCTTGTGCAAGAAGAGAAAGGGCAAGATAGATTAGACACACTTCATGCAAGGAGAGATCTTTTAACTTCGTGGTCATCTGCTCAAAGAAAGAAGGTGCTGAAAAGGAAATTAGAGAAACATGACATGGACTTTGCAAAACTCCTTTCTAGCGAAGATCTATATAAAGTGTCAAATGGACAACAGCGAATAAACATAATTAAAGCGCTTGGAACAGCTGCGGAGAAAAGCAAAGCTTGTGGAGAACCTGTGCTGGTCAACGATCAGACCTTTTGCGAAGTAAGGGATTGGCTGATTACAAGATTAATAATTGACAACTCCGGAAGAAGTGGTATTGCAGCAAATATAACAGTGGAGGAATTCAAAGATGCTAAACTGTACGCTGGAGAAGAAGATGGAGAGAGATACCGCGTATCAGTTAAGAATCACAAGACAGGAGGTGTTTATGGGGCAGCCATTGTATGGTTTCATGCTGATGTTTACAATCTGGTGAATACGTATATCTCAAGGGTGAGGCCTAAGTACGTCAAAGATGCCACAGATAACATGTTCGTTTCAACCAATGGCGTTAAACTTACTTCATCGCAAGTATCCACGTGTCTGACTCGTACATTTCAAAGGGAGGGTGTGAAGTTTCACGGTCGCATCTCCGCAACCTTGATAAGAAAATCTCTGGCATCAGGAGTGCATGTCCATTTGCCTGAAGATCAAGAACAACTGGCTGCCCTTGCACAGCACAAACCTCAAACACAAGCTCAATATTACCGCATCAATGACAAAGTTAGAGAAACAGATATTGGGCGTCGTGCTGTCAGAAAATTTATCACCATGAACTGCGCAAAGACAGAGGTAAGTACTCTTATAATGCATACCAATCGTAGTAATTTGAATAACAATTGGCATACGAATTCTGATTTCTTTTAGGTATCAATAATTCCTGTCGAGTGGACCGAGGAAGAGACCTCAAAACTTCAAGATTTATTCAAGTCTGAAATTGAGACTGGTAACATAACTGAAAACATTGTCAGAGATAAACTTGGTGCTTCCAACCTGTTGGAAACACACTCCATGAAGGCAATTGTGTTGAAAGTGAGAAGGCTTCGATCAGAATTTACCAAAAACTTAGAACCACCAACTGAAGTTGAGTCTCCTGAACAGAAGATAGAACGGTTTATGTCTTCCAGAGCTCCATCCATCGCATCTGAATCTGCAAAGCCATCATGGAGTAAGTTCACCGATGAACAAACAGACCATCTCCTATCGTTAACTCAGGATATGATTGAAAACAACGCAGTAAAAAGAGAGGTCGTTTGGGAACGGGTGATAAATGATGAGAAAGCATGGAAAACCGGGTTGGTCTTCGGAACCGATGATGAGGAGCTTCTTTTGAGGCAAAAACAACGTTTGGCGGACAAGGTACGAAAAGAAGTCAAACGTCAAAAGATGAAGAGAAAGTAGTAGTTTGATCCTGTGGTTCTTGCATTATATTTGAACATTAGTTGACATTGAACATTTCTTGTCTTTATGTATTCAGGGTTACAACATAATTGAGTCCTATATTGTTAACATGTTATTTTCTTTAACCGTTTGCCAGTCATTTTATGGTTGATCGTTTTATTTCAAGTAAGTCAATATTCCCTAAAAAGGCCGATTTACACAATGCAATTTCTTCGTGTGTTAAGGTTCGAACGACAAGTCATAGGGTCGTGTACGACCTGACGAATGACCGTTTATATGGTATGATTCGGGTCACATGCATCAAGTCATATACTACAATCGCATCGTGGAAATCGGCCTTAAGAGTCATATACTACAATCGCATCGTGGAAATCGGCCTTAAGAGTCATAGAATTTGTCTTGGTGACTGATGTGTGTAGGACATCGACTTCTATGAAAAAGATTTAACTTGTCTTGGTCTTGTTGCGAGGTGTTATAAAGTTGAATTTTTCATAAAGCAAAAGTTGTCGTTTAAAAACTTAGCTCCAAGTGATAAAGCTTATATCTGGAATTAAAAGAGTTTACTTTGAGACTCGTTGTCATGAACCTGCAATATATTGTCTTTTTAAGTGCAGTTCCAGTTGAGATTTTGTGGAAGTTTCATGACGTTTTCGAAAAGTTTAGGGTGAAGTCACTAAGCCCGTGAAATACATATTAGACTAACACACTTTATTAACCACTAATTTCGTTGTTTCCTTTAGTGTCTATTGAACTATTACATGTTAACAGTTAAATATTTTTTTATGGGTTTAACTTTACCCTAGTGCAACTTTTGTCGTCATAATAGAGCGATATCGCATAACCCCCTTCCTAAATATTGGTGTTTTATTCTAAATGAGCCAATACAAAGATAACATTAGAATACTTAAGACTTTATCTATTGTTGTCTTTCTACGATGTCCATTAACCTTTAACTAATATCCACTTGCTTTTAAAAATATTTATATCGCTCTGTAAACCTCACAAACCGGTGAAATTGCAGCTAAAATCGCCATTGTCATAGAGCTTTAAGGATGATCAACACGCACGCCCAAACTTGTATGCGAGCTGTCAATAGGATATGTATATGTAATCGCATGGGTCCTCGGGCAATTAAGGATTAATTTCACGCGTATTTCCAAACTTTGAAAACACCAGTGAAATTAATCCTTAATTGCCCGAGGGCACTTGCGATTTCTTGTTTATCACATAAAGGGCAAAATTATCGCGGGAATCCATTCACGCGCGACGTTATTCTTTTAGGAAGCCCGTTCAATGCCGCGACATTGCTCATTTTTTCCTCTTGTCTTTGCCCATTGTTGGAAAATGTTAGTCCAGTAGTCCGTACTTCTTTTTGTGTTTTTGTGCTCACTTGTGTTTAGTAGTTCCTCAATAAACTCTTCAACAAAATGGGAAGCCATTGTTGCAGAAAATTTTAATCGGCAACAAATCTAAGCAATAACTTCATTACAAAGCAACTTTAAACCAATCAAGATCAAGTAATCATGCCCTTTTGATTACCAAAAGTACCCTCGTGATTAAGAAAAAATGCCCTCTGTCTCAGCCAATCAGCACTTAGTAATTTTGCCCTGTATGTGATAAGCTACATAAAATGGGAATTTGCTAGGTGTAGAGTTTTGCTCATAAATCCAATTAACAGCAATAAAATCTATCGAAAAACCAGTGGCCATGTTTGTAAAGTAAAGCGTCATGTCTCTTCTGAAAATTAGCCGTTTGCGCATTTAGTAAGAGTATCTAAATTTTGTGCTAGCAAACTTAAGGTGGAATCCCTGTACATGAAAGGGTATCATTTACTGTTCCCCTCTTTTGTTGGGAATCTACTTCCCTGAAAAAATAAGCTGGAAAAATGTATTTTTACGCGTTAAGAACTGTGCTTAATTTAAGTAGATCTACTGAGTACAAAGACTGTCTCAGGCCTGCTAGTATGGACACCTTAACCCAAGACGTTTTACTGCGTCTTTAATCATGTTTAAGGTATACAAGCGACAGGAAGCTTCGTATATTTCTAATTTTTTTACACCTAGAGTCTGTCATTACAATTTGCGCTCCTCTGCTCTTAATGTTTCCCAGCCTGTAAATACCTCTAGCCATATTCAGAGCTCTTTTCATACACTATCTCTCATTCTTGGAACCAGTTACCATCTTCAATTAAATCAGCAACCACTTTATCGGAATTTAAGTCTGGCCTATCTCGCATAACTACGCTTGGCTGTAAGCCTATAAGTGTATTAGTATACAATTGTAGAGGTAGGGTTATGAATTGGTAATTAGGCTTGGGGTTAGGGCTATAATGTTAGGTGATTAGGGCTGGTAGGGTTTCAGGGGAAGTTCAGCATCGGGAGCTAAGTGATATTTTTGCGTTTTTATCATCTTTGTCGAGCGTTTTTAACATGAGCCATTAGGCTCGGGGGATTGGGTAACCACCCCCTACGTTGCCGACGTGAAAAAAATTGTTGTTGTCCACGTGATCAGTAAAAAATGGTCTAAAAAAGCTTTATTTTGTTAATTCAATTAGTACACTAGGCAGGGAAATCATCTTAACTGTCAATATTGCTCCGCTTCTCTTTTTAACTTGAATGTCGCTCAGTCACGATATTTCTGCTTTAATTCAAATAATAACACTTTTAAAAAATGTTTAAATTATTTTCCATGTTCCCTTTCACAAGGCGTCTTTTAGCTATGCAAACAAATTACCAGAATTCCGCTTTATTCAAGTTTTATAAGTAAAAATGTCCCATCAATTTGGCAAAGTGGGTATTTGCTACTTACAAGTGGGTATTTGCTACATAAAATGGGTATTTGCTACATGCAGAATTTCGCTCGTAAAATTGATAAAAATGAATGGAATAGCTTGTAAACACGTTGTAAATTCTTAAAAAATAATGCGTCATCCATGCATGCGAAAATCATGGCATTAGAATGAACTAAAAGTGAAATAATGCGAAAAACGCATTTTTAGAAATGTTTGGGTTCCAAAGTTTCAAGTCTTGTACACCTACATACCCAGAAGCGCACTTTTTGCTAAAAATGGTCTTCACAGAAAAAATTTTAAAACGACAGAACTCAGAAGGCTTTTACGGCAAAGAAGAACATTTAGAAGACCTTTGATATCCGGAAAAGTTTTTGAATTTTATAAAAAAAATGATTGATGTACCTAGGTTTGGGTATTTGCTACCTTCTGACTTTTCAGTGACGAAATGCGAACAACAATTAAACTTTAATAACGTTGGTTTTGCATAGAAGAGAGCTAAAAAGCAATATTCTTTTGGCTAGAATTGTTAAATACTTTAAAAAAAAACTTTTACTTAATTTAAATAGGCATAGAGAAAACGCGTAGCAAACACTCACTGATGAATCTAAAGAGAGAAAGAGAGAGAGAGAGAGAGAGAGAGAGAGAGAGAGAGAGAGAGAGAGAGAGAGAGAGAGAGAGAGAGAGAGAGAGAGAGAGAGAGAGAGAGAGAGAGAGAGAGAGAGAGAGAGAGAGAGAGAGAGAGAGAGAGAGAGAGAGAGAGAGAGAGAAAGTTAGTTCAAGAAAATTGTAGAATGAACAAATGCTTTCTGATTATGTTGCCTACGTCGGGTAAATTTGGATTCATGTAATAACAAATGGAAATAATTTCTTCGTTTCTTTTCCACGAGTCCTAAGTAAATCTTTTCTAGGAATGGCGGAGGCTTTGGAGAATTGATCCGAAACTAATTTAGAGGGATAGCCCTGGTTAGTAAGGTACTCTTTGTACGCAGCTGTTCTCTCGGCAGCTAGTTTGGATCTATCTTTGGATGCTAAGCATGTTTCAAGGCTATTCCTTTTGGAGTAGCTACAAGATTGAAAATAAATTTCTCTGAAGAAATATTTCTTGCCGAGAAGAAGGTCTCTGACCGAAACGTTTTTATTAAATTTTTTATCTTTTTTATGTCAGAAGTTGCTCATCCTCGCATATTCTTTAACTCTCTAGGTTAGTGTTTGCTGTGAGGTTTGGACTGCGAATCTTTATTGATCCTCCTGGCGCGGTGCACCTTTATTGGCCTGAGAGTTCTAGTAACAATTTTATATATATATCTATATACATAACATTATGGCAACCTACTTCTCTCATTCTTCCCTGCTTCCTGCAGAGATTTCTGTGTGCATCTTGCTTGCCTTTCTTTGCTCTTGTGGAAGCATCACAGAGACTCTTCAAATACGTGGCAGCAGCACCTTCCCATAAAAAGTACACACCAATGGTATTTGTACATAAAAGCTTTATCACCTATTTAAAGCCCTAGTAAATAGACTTTAATGACACCAACCATTTGAAGTAAAATCAATCAATGATAAGTGATATCAGTTGATAAAACTCAATGCCAGTTGAATAATATTGGATATCAATGACCAATGACTCACATGATAGATTGCAATCATCAATTAGTTGTTGTCTCCAAGCACAGCTCTTTCAGACACATATATGCCCTATCAAAACTCTATGCTAAAAGAGAGAAATTTAATTCTAAAGTATGTATTTTTTGATTGTTCGTAGGGCTTTCAACAACCCCAGCAGCAGACTATACTACAGGTACAGTTACCTTTCATCTTAGCTTCTGACCAAAGGGACCTATCGGATCCACTGTGATCAGCCACCACTGCCTCAATTACCCTCTTGGTGGCTTCCTGATTAGCATCAGCTGACAAGCCTAAAAAATTTAATTTAATAAACCCAATGAAAAAGATAAAATATTGCATATGGCAAGCTCAGCAAAAACCATTTTGTAAACAATGTAATCCTTTTGGGACTAAAACAAAACTCTGGATACCAAATGGAAGTCCTGCCTATCTAAGACCCTACAATTACATTGAAAAGGGAAAAGGACGCGGAACGCCGTCAGAAATCACCGACAAAGCGTACCGAAAGAAATCTAGATGGCGGCAGCGGCAACCCTGTAGGCTTTTAAACAACAATTAGACTGTAATTTAGCTTGTTTAGGCTGCAAAGATGTCTTCCCACTTGCGAAAGCAAAGTAGACTGTTGTGTGGGCACTACGATGGATATTTATCTAGGGCAGCTTTCTGGAAACATCGCAAGGCTTATTACAATGTGCATAGGGAACGCCGGATAACTAAAACTGAAGTTGAGCATTTGGAACTCAGGGCAAAGAGACCAAAGCCATGTTAGGATCATGAGCCGCGCGGAGAAATGTGGGAATCGGGTTCTTCTGGCGATGAGGATCTTGAGGCAGTTAAATCTACTCAAGGTATGTCATACAGTAATTTTAATCAATAGATAACACGAAGTAAAGTTCAAAGCATATAGTTTTACACTAGAAAAAAATATTGAACTTTAACAGGTAAAAAAGGGAGTGCGGCCTTCCAATACCTAATTGTTGAAAACTAAATTTTGACAGCACTCATCATTTGGGTGAATGACTCTCAAACTGTACTAGCCCAGTAAAATTTTCACTGCAGACATCCTCACGTCCTCATTGGCTAATTTTCATTGATAGAGATAGAGTATAATTCTGTTTGGTAAGGGGGGCATAATAATTCCTCCCTTTAAAACTGGCAGCAGTGATAAATATACTTTTAAGAGGTACCAAAAAATAATATATTTTTGTTCTGTACCTGCCTGGGATAACTTAGTCTGAAAAGACTATCATTTAGACATATTGTGATACCTTTCAAGAAATTGTTTGCAAAAGCCAATCTGCATATCAGCACACAAGTGCAATTTTTATCACATGATAAGTACATGTACTTTTAAACTCTTTGTGACTCGACACACTTTTGCTTGGACAGGTTCCTAAGATAATGATTTTGAGGATATTTTGGGTGACGACAGAGAGTTTTTAAGTGCAGTGAGTGGTGATTTGGAAGGAAATACATCTGATGAGGTAGGTTCTATATGTATCTTTATGTGCTAGCTACAGGTATATGTTACAGGTAAAATTGTTTTCAGGTTAATATGATTTCAACATACTTTAGCTTATTTGGTTTATTTTACTAGTGTAATCATGTGAAAAACAATTAATTTAAAATTATTGGAAACAAATTAACCTGACAAACAACCTAATTTATTAAATGTCCTTTATTAAGTGATGTGTTTTGGAAGAATTATAATATTTTTTTTTCACTTTGTGTTGGAGGTGTATATTTATCAAGTTAGAGGTTTGATATTGTTAAAAGTTTCATAGAGGAAAATGCTTCTTACATTAAGGATCCTTTTTATGTATGGTACATGTATTGTACATAATTTTCTTCTACTCAGGTACAGAGACACATTAACATTACTATCATGAATGAAAATTTCTTTCTTGTTTTTGTTTGGAGTCCAATTCTTCTCACACTGATGGATCTGAAAGTGAAAGTGACAGAGATTGTAGTGATAGCGGTTGCAGTGATGATGAAGATCCTGAAGTATGGTATGAGGATGTGGATGATCTTTTAGAAGATGTGGCAAATGATGAACCTCTGCCAGAACCAATCCGGCACAGATCATCATCTACACAGACACTGATAATATTACTTCAATGGTTTATTTACTTTTTGTTATTTGGGCAAGCAACTTGCAAAATAAGTGATAATGGCCTTGAGTGGTTGTTATATTTTATGTTCCAGTTTTTGCATGTGAAGGGGATCAATTACAGTAGTGAATACCTTTCCCAATTGGCCCTTATGTTTCCAAGTTCACTGTACCTACTTCGAAAGTTTGTTAACTTAGAGCGTGATAACTTCGTCAAGTTTGCAGTCTGCCCAAAATGTGCATCACTTTTTTGGAGGTCAGATTGTTTCAAATATCTGTAGCCACAAACCATTCAACAAAGGCCATGTCAGGGAGTGTGGAACAGCATTGGCAAGAAAAGTGATCTCAGGCAGTGGTAAAGTGCGCTTTTATCCACCCAAAATTTACTGTTTTAATAGTGTGATTGATCAAGTTAAAGGATTACGTAAAAGGCCTGGAGTTCCTGAAATGTGTGAAAAGTGGCGTAAAAATCAAGTAGATGAGACCATTGTGGCAGATGTTTATGATGGCAGCATCTGGAGAGACTTTCTAAAGTTCAGAGGAAATGACTCTCTGAATGCACCCAGAAACCTTGCATTTGCAATCAATGTGGACTGGTTTCAACCATTTAAGAGGCGAAATGACAGATCTGTGGTAGTCATTTACTTAGTTCTCTTAAATCTTCCAAGACAACAGCGGTTCAAATGGGAGAACATTATTGTGGCAGGAATTGTACCAGATTTAGATGGCGTGTTATCTAAACATCAATCAGTATTAATGGACGAGTTGGGCACTATGCAAGGCGTGTAAGGTAAATTATTCGTCAAGCCCAAATCAAACTGAAGTTTTTCAAACCGTGCCAAGCTCCAAATGCTTTAAAAGGAGCCATTGAGGAAGAATTAGATCGCTTAGTAAACTTGGTAGTAGTAAAAAAGGTGCGCTACTCAGAATGGGCGGTACCGATAGCTCCTTTCGTTAAACCGGATAATTCAATTAGAGTTTGTGGGGATGATAAAGTGACCGTCTATTCCGTTTTGGAGGTTGACCAACACCCGTTACCAAATCCCGAAGAGTTTTTTGTTGAATAAAGTGGGGAGAAAAAATTCAGCGAGCTAGATTTATCTAGGGCTTACCAACAAATTATTTTAGATGAGGATTGTAGGGAGTATGTAACCATAAATACTCACAATGGTTTATAGAGACTCACTCGTTTACCTTTTTGGGTATCCTCCGCGTCAACCATCCTTCAATCAAAGAATTGAGGAAGTATTCTAGGGTATACCAATGGTCGTTTGTAGGGTGGACGATATTTTAGTACCGGGGAGAAATGATCAAAAGCATTTAGTTCACCTAAATTAAGTTTCAGCGAGGTTGGAAAGCGCTGGCTTGAACTTTAAACTTAGCAAGTGCAAATTCATGCAGCCTACCGTTGAATATCTAGGTTATCGAATAGATGCGCAAGGAATGCATGCGATCGAGAAAAAAATTGCGAACGTATGTTATACGAATTACACACAGGGCACGCAGGTATTGTCCGTATGAAGTCACACGCGCGACTTCACGTTTGGTGGCCTAAACTCGACAGAGACAGCCACAGTCTTATAGAAATGGGACAACCGTCAGAGGTCAAGTAACAAGCCCCAACCTTCACCACAAACTGCCGTGGCAGAGAGTGTACATCGATTTTGCAGGTCCATTTATGGGTAAAATGTAAAATGTCGTCGATAGCCACTCAAAATGGTTTGAAGTAGAGATAATGCCCAGTATCGCCACTGATGCGACATCACAAAGCTTCGCGATATGTTTATTCGGTATGTCATTATACAGCAACTCGTGAGCGACAACGGTACACAGTTCACTTCGGAAGAATTCTGTAAAATTATGAAAGCAAACAGCATCAAGTACACGCTTGTTGCTCCGTATCACCCTCGATCCAACGGCCAAGCAGAGCGTTTCGTTTAAACGTTTCAGCAATTTTTTAAGGCAGAGGGCAGCGATTCGATTAAGCAAAGTCTTGCGTGATTTATTTTCAGTTACTGAACGACACCAAAGAGTAATATAGGCCACACACCAGCCGAGTTATTCCTAAATCGTCGATTAAGACTGAACGAGGTTAGACTTAATGCGTCTTGATCTCAGTCGCAAAGTATTTGACAGGCAAACGGATTAGAAGGCCGGACACGATAAGAGTAGTAAAGGAAGAGAATTCACCTTGGTGAAGAAGTTTTGGTGCAAAACTTCCGAGGTGAGCCGAAATGGCTTGATGGCACCGTTACGTAGCAAACCGGTCCCGTCTCTTATAAAGTTCTGGTCGAAGAACAATTCTGGAACGCTATGTTGACTTAGTGCATCAAAAGCATTGAAGGAACCAAGATAGTAAACCAGAGATTAGTGTAACACCTTCAAACGAGATCGTTGATATCCAACCGGTAACGCCTCCGCAAACGCAAACCGCGGAGAACGCCACGCTAAATCCAAATGAAACCAAAGGTAGCGAAAAAAGCAACAACGCGAATACGCAGGCAGCCGCGACAGCGCAATATCGACCCCAACCACGCTATCCAACTCGACAACGTAAAGCACCGCAGCGTTTAGAATTTAATACATAATGATTTAAGTAAGTGATTAGCAAGCCTTAGAAATAAGTGTGGGGGAATGTTGTGTTTGTTCCTATTGGATAAATACCTTAGCTATTACATAATCTTTATTCTATTGGTTAGTGCATTGTATGTAACTAAGTTCGTCGTATTCTAAGAAATCAGTTGTGTAGAGCACTTGGGCTGTGCTCTTGTTACTCTATAGTAGTGTATAACGAACCCTAATACACAAAAATTACGTAATAGCCTCGTAATTAGATGAAATGTTCTAGAAAGCTCTATGATACTCATGTCAGCATGACCAAGCAGTCTGGAGATCTCTAGAAGCTTATATTTACAACAACAATTACTCATAACACAATGCATTCTCGTTCGAAGTTCAGACTCATTAATTAGTTGTATCACCTTCAATGAAAGATATTTCAGAATTTTCCGATGCTTTCTTTTGTCCCTTGTTCATTTTGGTCATTGGAATTTCTTCACCTGATGGCCCTGGAGTTGAATTATAATCTGGTTGAAAATTTTTTCTTATATTTCTTTCATCATCACTGTCATTGTGTTCCAAAAGAGTATCAGTATCTCCAAAATCATCCATTTTAAAATAAAATATCTATTATTCTAAAATGGAAATCAGTAAAAAAAAACCAACCCAAATTTCGAAAAAAAGACGTCAAATGTCCTCAAGGCTGACTGCACAATTCACAGAGTAACATTTAACCCTATTACGGCATCTCCAGTTCAAGCTCTCAGAGTCCCAGTTCCAAAGTTTGATGGCGGAGTTGTCCATTTGCAAGGATCTCTTTCACTCATCCTTGACTTGGCAGTTAGTGTTCCCGCAAAAAATTATACCGTGAAAAATGTCGCAAGAGGTCTTGTTGACAAGTTGACTGAGAAATTCGCAGGAGAAATCGCTCAGAACACTGATGGTTATGATCTGCTCAAGCTCCATGAGGACCTACTCTTGACTGCGGAGAATGACAGAGCAAGCATGTTCAGAGAAGGTATTCAGTCGGTGATCCAAGGGAATCTTATGATCCAATTGTTTCCCATATTTGTTTTCATAAACATCATTGAGCTTATTCTCCATGTCAACTCATGATTTTTTCTTATCTTCAGCATTGAATCTGATCTTCGAAAGATCAAAAACTGAAGGTGATACAACACAAAAATTATATCATAAATTCCTTTCATGTGATAATTAACTTTTTTTAGGCTTCCTTTTCCCATCTTCGCCTCCTAGTTTAAACAGGAACGTGCCAACAGACATGTTATTCTTTAGACCCTTTCTTTTTATATAACTGCGGTGAGAATATGCCTCAAGCATGATGTAGACCATTGAGTCGTAAATCTAGTTATGGAATGGATGACCAGATGAATCGTTCAGATGCAGTCAATTAGCTGTTAAGGAACTACGCATTCCTAATTTGAGCAAATATACCCTGTTTTGATTAACTTAAAGATTGTGCAATGTAAGATTTTTATCTAAAATTAATTCGCAGTTATTTGAGAGAAATCTGTAACTGCCGTGTTTGCATACACTGTGTTAGTAAGTTTTCCTGGCGCTGTTACTATTGCGAGGATTCAATTCAAGAACACAATTGGCTACCAAGTGTTTGTAGATAGAAGATGAAATTTCCTTGTATACATATCTACGCGCTCGTGTAAGTGACCACGAGTATGGCCCACATACCCTAAACTCTCTCACACAGGTTACATTTAATAATTCATGAAACGATACATTGTTGGTTAACACTTGTTCTACTAAAGCAGCGGTCGAGAGCGTTATCTTTGGTTTCTTTCTTTTCAGTTTTGTAATGTTTATTGGTTCTTGTATTACTCAGGAGTGTCTTACAACTGGTGAAGAATGCCATATTGTCTGCTCAATCACCACGCTCTCAACATGTGCAATATTTCGTGATGTTAAAAACAAACTTAAACGATGAAGGCTAATATCTATTTCAAATTGTTGTTTAACATGATAAATAAACTGACGACTGGTAACATCATTGAAGGTTGCTCATTTTAACACTAAGTTCAGAACGACGAGAAATCTCCGATGGTCACGTCTGGTGATGGACACGAGCTCTGAAGATCGATAAAAAATCATTAATATCTGACTCAACGATACCGCTTGATTGCAGTTTCAACCAGTGGCTTTGGGAATATAATTAATCAGCAGTCACTTTTGTACAGTTCCCCCTTTATACTTTGTTGGTGACGACTGATCCCTTCGGAGAAGAAAGACCAGTTAGAAGATAATCGATAAGCGCGATCCACCTCCCCCTCCCCCCGAAGAATCCTCCACCTTTCCCACGTACTGATAATCGGTAAAGAGTCCACCTCAGTAATGACACCATGTGGAGAAAATTCTATCAGGCAAAAGTCAGTAATAGACTGAACTTGATCGCTTTATTTCGCGCCACATACCAAGGACAGAAAAATGCCGTTGAAGTGTGTCGATATATGAGCTAATTAACCTGTCTTCATGTGTCAGTTATGGCTCGTTTAATTCATTCTGCATGTCTTTAAGCTTCCAAGTCACCTTGAAGCTAAATTCAGTGCAGTGTTTTTTTCTGATGCAAGGAAATATTGCAGTCCATGGAAATATTTTAAAAGAAGGTCAAAGAGTAGGATAATTATATATAGAGCCAAATGGTGGGAGGCGCGTTGTGTTAATTTGATATGGCATAAGCTGTATCTTAATAGTAGAAATCAATTATCTATAGATAGTGAGCAAATAATTCACTGGAAAATAAAAGCGAGCTTAGGTCTTTGAAATATTGGTGTCAGTAGAAAATAATAGTTTCTATCCTTTTTACTTATTCAAGTCATTCTAAAGGACATGAAGATGAATTTGAAATGAAAGGAAGTGTCAATGGAGATTACTTTGGGATTGAAGGAGAAGGGAAAGGACTGCCTTACGAGTAAGTGTAAGACAGACCACAAGGAATTATTTCATTACTATGCATTACGATTTATTTTAGCCACAGAGTTTAACAAGATCATGCCGCTGTCGTCAAATCAGGGTCTGATATCACGGCATTAATGATTTTTTGACATTATCAAAAAGAGATTCAAAATTTTTTTGAAAAGCAAAGTGAACAAGATCAGAGATTCATAAAAAGATTTTCAGTCATAAACTATAGGCTTGTTTTTATTCGAGTTTGCAAATTACCTACGGTCTTTGACATCGACTTCTTCATCTGCTTCAAGAAACAAGCGAGGTGTAAAGGCTACTGTAAAGCTCAGTCACGCCAAAAATCATTTGCAATACTTTAATTTCTCACAACTAACATGAAAGGTTATGCAGTATTTTACTTACGTTTGAATTAACATGAGCATAAAATATTTGGTCCTCCTTATTTTTGTGTATTTCGGGTGATACATGAGCCGTTTTTCAAAATAGTTTTTAACACTGTTATCATCTTATTTTAGAGGAATACAGAGGTCGACTTTCTGAGTCACCAAGGGAGGACCCCTCCCATTTTCCTTTGGCATACTGTCGTCAGCGTTCAAATATGGAAACAGATGCTTCACTAAATACTCTGCCGACATGCCCGACTATTTCAAGCAAGCATTTCCAGCTGGAATGTCGTATGAAAGGACATTTACACTCGAGGATGGAGGTGTTGCCACAGCCAGTGGACATATTAGGTATAAAAGTAATGTTTAGTTTGGGATTGAGGAAATACTTTTTAAAAGAAAACTTCAAGGTCATATTCTTTACACGGAGCAGGGAGCGCCCTTTTTTATGTTTAACTGAGTTGTGATTCTCCCGAGAACGCTTCCTGTCTAACTACAGGAGAACAAAACTACACAAAAAGCATAATGACAAGAGAATATGCAGACTACGGGATTTGAAACAGGCTATTTTTTTCCCACAAAAATTATATCGGAAATAGCTTCGTGTAAAAAATTTAACGTTTTTCAGACTTCCTTTTCCTATCCTCGCCTCCCAGTTTAAACAGGAACGTGCTAACGATATATAAATCTTTAGATCCTTCCTTTTTATAAAACTGCGGTGAGTATATGCCCTAAGCATAATATAAACCATTGTGTCGTACATCTAGTTACTGAATGGATGACCACCTCACTCGTTTCGATGTACCAATTAGCTGTTAAGGAACTGTGCATTCCTTATATGAGCCGGAAACAGCACTTTGTGACGGTTCGCTTTGTTCTGTGGGCTGCCTAATGCCCTCAAAGATTTCGTAATATGGGATTTTCATCGAAAAGGAAATCGCAGTTATAAGAGATAAATATGTAACTGCCGTGTTTCCATACACCGTGTTAGTCGGTTTTGCTGACGCTGTTAATGTTAGTGAGGATTCAATTCAAGAACACAGTTGGCCACAAATCGTAAGTTGTCATTTTCTTATTTTTTTAGCATCGTAGTTGATTTTTTAAAATTGCACTCTAATATTGATGCCAAAGGCATCGTCGCCGGTATTGCGCATTGAATACATATATGAAATTTTCTCCTTGGCGTGCATTCAATTTTACGACATTTCTTGGCTCCCTAACACTCTCCACTAACAGAAATCTTGGATCGCTTGTTCACGATCGTCTTTCAATTTCAGAAACTTTCGGAAGTCCAGCGTAAATTTAGCGGTAAATTTTCATAAATACATGGCATAAAACAAAGAGGACGTGGTTATCCTGAAAAGAACTTCTGAAATCATCCCAGATAGCATTATCTCGTATACGAGTGCACAATTTACGCAAATCCCAGGTGTTTTGATCGCGAATGGAAAAGCAGCTAAATGACGTCCGGCACTTGTTGGGGAGAACGGCAACGTCAACACCGGAAGTCGAAATAGAGTCATGTCCAGACTATATCCATGGGATTGGTAAGACACTTAGCGTGCCTTATTCCATTTTTCGCGTGGAGGGTCACAAATTTTCTTTTTTGATTTATGAACTCTGCCTTTTTTTTGCGATGCTTCAATCGGTTTTTTATAAAAGCAGGCGACTTAACTCGACATATTACGAGCTTTTAGCTTGAAATAAACGATCGCTCTCACTATTCTTGAGTAACCAAAGTTTTATGGTGCGTAGTTTGAATAATTTGTGTAATAGAAAATCACTCTTTTCACCGAAGAAATCTTCCTCAACTTATATCAAATCTTGTTACAGACCTAGATGAATAAGAAGAGAATATTAATCAGTTTTTTTCAACTATCTTTTCAAGTAGCGTGAAATTGTTCCCTTTCTCTTTTTCTTTTAGCTGAGGAAGAATTTTAGGATGCGTAGCTTTGACACTTTGTGCAATAAAATGACAGAACTGATAACTATTTCGTCAAAACAGTTTTGAAAAGCCCAATGCCATTATCTTATCCGCACTAATATTTAGTACTCTAATGAACCCTCTCGGTTGATCCAAGTAGAAATATTATTCAATGTATGTTGAATCGGATCAGAGAAAAATAAGAGGAGAATAACAGATCAGTTATTTTCAACTATTTCTTCAAATGACATGAGATCGTTGACCGCCTCTTTCATTAAGAAACAGTTTTGCGGTCAAGCCCATTCAAATGCACTCTGTCGGATCAAAATACATTTAAGGAATTATCTTTTAACTTTTAGCAAGCAGGAGACAATGTAAGTTTAGCCCAAAGAAGACGAAAAGTTCTCTTCACTTCTGAAACATTCAGTCTACTTGATAAGTGCTGTGGAGGTCGGCTGAATGGCCCTAATGAAGTAGGAGATTTTTTCACCCGATCCCGGGAAAAAGCAAGGAATATTGCTGCCTATACTGTATTTCCACTCCCATAGGTGCTCGCATGTAGTAGAAAAGATAGAGCCAGCGCTTGTTCTTGTGGCACTGTTGTACTCATTTTTAAGTCTAAGGGAGTATTCATGGCTGTACGAATAGAGAGGATGACACTTCACAGTTCATCATATCAAGGTTTTTTTTTATTTTTATTTGAATTTTTCAACTGACCTGATTCGTGTAGCAATAACGTCAGAAGTAAAAAGGTAAAAATACTTCCACCTCCGTCACAAAGGGTTAACTTGAGCCACAGCAGTTTCTTCCAGAAGGACCTTTCTGTCTTCAATTTCAGTCCTCACAATATGATGTTCTACGACGTGATTCGGAGGCAGTGTGACCGCTCCTTTGTTCTGTGCAAAGGAAAAAATTCTTATAAAAACACAAGATATGTGTTTTACGTTCCCTTTTTATCTCATCGTTCTCTTCAGTTGCTTTTATCCTGTAAAACACAGAAGATGAGATCCAAATGCTCAAAAGGAATGATATTCCAACGTTGGAGCTATTACGGAAACAGAATACGTACTTGTAAGAAGTGTGAAACATTAACCGCCTCCTTTGAGTTGTAGGAACATAGTCACATCACCTCTCAATATGTTGTTGGAGACGGTCATTTTCTGAGAGGACGGGTCCCAGCCAATTGTCCTCTTTTCCATTGTGGTCCGTTTGCGGGAAAGTTAACGCCATGAAACATGGATATGTGCTCAAATAAATTGTCCTCAATACTGTAGAATAAAGAAAATTTGAGATATCAATAAAAATATGTAAAATTACCCTTTTACATACCTAGAGTACAATGAGCTCTGTAGTATATTAGCGCCATTTTTTTTTTTTTTTAGATTTTGTCATTTCCGCTGCGACGTTTTTCAAACTAAAACCATTTACTCACAAATGTCTATATAAAAATGCAGTAGTTTGCATATTCTGTGGTCACTATACTTTTTGTGTAGGTTGCTCCCCTGTAGCTAGACAGTTAGCGTTCTCGGGAGAATCACAGCTAAGTTACACTTTCAAAAAGGGCCCTACCTTCTCCGTGAAAAAAAATGACCTTGAAGATTTCTTTTAATGAGTATTATATCAATCCTATACTAATCATCACTTTTATACCTAAAGTGCCCACTGGCTGTGGCAACACCTCCATCCTCATGTGTAACTGTCCTCTCAAAGGAAATTCCAGCAGGAAATACTTGTTTGAAATAGTCTGGCATGCAGGCAGGATACTTAGTAAAGCATCTGTTTCCATATTTGAACACTGTCGACAGTGGGTCAAAGGAAAATGGAAGGGGTCCTCCCTTGGTTACCCAAAAAGTGGATTTCTGTAGTCCTCTAAAATAAGATGATAAGAGTGTTGGAAATTATATTCAGAAACAGCTCATCTATGACTTGAAATACACGATAATTAGGAAGAACCAAATATTTGATGCACATGATAATTCAAACTTAAGTAAAATATTGCATAACCTTTCATGTTAAGTGGTGAGAAATTAAAATATGGCAAATACCTGTGACTGAGATTTTATACGTTAATTTGAAGTTGCTTTACACTTCGCTTGGTTCTGGAAGCGGATGAAGAAGTCGATGTCAGAGACTGTCGGTAATTTGTATCGCAAATGAATCTAGCTGTGACTGAGCTCCGCAGTAGCCTTTCAACCTCATCTGATTATGGAAGCAGACGATCTTGTTCACTTTGCTTTTCAAAAAAGTCTTTACTCATTTTTTATTATTTCCCAAAATCATTGATACTTTGATATCAGGCCTTTATCTGAAGACTGTGATCTTATTCAACTCCGTGTTGAAAAATAAATTGCAGTGAAATTATCCATCGTGGTCTGTCTTTTTAGGAGGTACTTACTCGTAAGGTCTTCCTTTACCTTCACCTTCGACCTCAAGGTAATGTCTGATGACATTACCCTTCATTTCAAATTTCATGTTCATGTCTTTTGGAATGACCTGAATAAGTAAAAGCAAAGAAACGCCTTCTACTATTAAGATATAGCTTACGCCTTTTTTTTTAAGAATTGCCTTAATAAATTTAAAAGAAGAATATTGAAATATATCAAGGAAACACACTTTTATTTTCGTAGCCAAAGGCATAAATTCGTATATTATTATTATTTTCTACTTTATTCATTTATCTTATCGTTACTGGAAAAGTCATATCAGCGTAATTAAGTTTATCACCATATTTTTTCAAGAATTCACTAACCCACTTTGAAAGAGACATGTTGAGGATAAACCGCTTGATTTTCAAAACTGGATCGCGAGTTGAGATGGTCTGTTGTAGTTCACTCAGTCGCCGACTATGCTGAACTGTCTGGAGTGTTAGGGTGGCTTAATGTTAAAAGGTAGGATAGAACAAACAGAAGTTCATTGATGATGATGCCACGTGAACCATCATGTGATATTTAACAATTGGTTCATGCTTACTGGGCGTATATCGTCCAGGTATCCAAAAAGCTTCATTCATTCATTGTTTACGAATAGATTCTCATTTAGTATATCTAATAATCATTTTGGGCGCCAAAGAGTGTGTCTCGATCACTACGGACGGAAAAACAATATCTAAAGTTTTGAAGCCTCGCGGCCAAATTCTACGGAAACTTTTCAGCAAGGTGAAACTACACACGTCAATGTATGTACGCACCGCGGTGGCTCACTAGAATTACTTAGGACTTATGCGCGCACTGCATCAAAACGTAGCATATACTTTGTTACTCTAGTTTCACGTGCAAAACTAAGATAAATGGTTATAAGCATGAAAAATAAAGATAAACACTATCTTTTCTACAGCATTCTTCGTGGGAACTACCTGATTTCGTAAACTTCGAGTTTAAGTAAAATTTGAAAGAGGTTTCAAATCTTGTAACATAAAAGTAATCAT